GAGGCAGAAGGATCACTGGAGCCCAGCAGGTCTACGCTAGGGTGGCAGTGAGTGGGCCGCTACGCTCCAACCTGGGCGACAGAGTGAGACTCCAACTCAAAAAAAAGAAAGAGTTATCTGGCAAGAGAAGAACATTTCTACAGAGAATGAAGAGGGAGGAAAGAAGATACAAAATCAGATTTTTAGGTCTTGACAACTTCATATTCTTTCTCCTTGCTTTTTCCTATTTGCAACTACATGATAGATGTGTTTTTGCACCTTGTAGTAATTATATATTTCAGGAAGACATGCTTGCTAAAAATGTGAAAGTAATAAGATTTAACCTTGTGAAATAAGATACAATCAATTTGGAACATTTTATTTTTAATACTTCTTTGGTCCCAAACATCTGCCCAGTCCACTACATCTACCTAAAGACACTCAAATATAGTTGACTCTTGAGTAACATGGGTTCGAACTGTGCGTGTCCACTTATATGTGGGTTTTAAAAACAGATGTATTGGAAAATTTTTGGAGATTTTCAACAATTTGAAAAACTGCAGACAAATTGTGTAGTCTAGAACTATAAAAAAATTAATAAAAAGAAAGTATGTCCTGCACACACATGTTTATTGCAGCACTACTCACAATAGCAAAAACATGGAAACAACCATGCTGCCCATCGAAACTACTGGATAAAAAAAAATGTGGTACATACATAAAATGGAATATTACACAGCCATAGAGATGGACAAACATATGAACTTTGCATCAACTTACAACAATTTAGAGTCTATCCTACTCCATGATCTATCACAGAAACAAAGAACAGAGTACCACATGTTCTCACTCATAAGTGGACCTTGAACATTTACCATGATACTATAAGAAAGGGATTGGCAGTAGCAGGATACTTTCAGGGCAGGGAGGGTGGGACACAACATCAGTTAGTGTACCTGATCTCAAACCAGGCAAAGTGGGGACCAAAGGGAGGCCCAAACCTTACCTGTACAATGACCACTTGTATACATAATCCTGAATTGTACCCCACATCTTTAAAATAAAAAAAAGTTAAGTATGTCATGAATGCATAAAGTATATGTAGATACTGGTTTACTTGGCCATCTACTACCATAAAATATACACAAATCTTATCAAAACTTAAAATTTATCAAAATGTAAACATATACTTACAGATCGTACATAGTGCTATTTACAGTTAAGAGAAATGTAAACAAATGCAAAGATGCAGCATTAAATCTTAATTGCCTAAAATTAACTGTAGGACATACTGTGCTGCCGTAATAATTTTACAGCTACCTCCTGTTGCTTTTGAGGTGAAGGCGAGTGTTGCAAGTATCTTCCTAAAACACTGTGTGATGTTAAGCATCTTCTTGTGAGCAGTTCGTCTCACCAGTAAATCGCATTTCGCAGTGAACAGTTCTCACTCTTGGTTCTTGCACATTTTTCACTGTGTTTAGTGCAATACTGTAAACCCTGAAAAAGTACCATGGGACTCATGCCAAGTGCCACCAGTGAAGCTGGAAGTGTCCCCAAGGAGCGGAGAAAAGTCATGATATTACAAGAAAAAGTTGAAATGCTTGACATTACTGGAGACTAAGGTCTGCAGCTGCAGTTGCCTGCCACCTCAAGATAAAATAATCCAGTGTAAGGACTATTGTGAAAAAAGAAAAGAAAATCTGTGAAGCCATCACTGCAGCTACATCAGCAGGCTAAAAAAGCCCCATGTACTTTATGCAAAATATGCTTTTATCCCATTTGAAAATGCAGCTTTTATGTGGGTGTAGGATTGCTATAAGAAAGGCATACCTGGCCGGGCACGGTGACTCAAGCCTGTAATTCCAGCACTTTGGGAGGTGGAAGTGAGAGGATTGCCTGAGTCCAGAGTTTCGACACCAGCCTGGGCAACTTGGTGAGACCTCAACTCTAAAATAAATCAAAAAATTAAGCGGACGTGGTGGCACGTGCCTGTACTTCCAGCTACTTGGAAGGCTGAGGTGGAAGGATCGCCTGAGCCCAGCAGGTCGAGGCTGTGGTAGCCGTGAGCGTGCCACTGCACTCCAGTCTGGGCGACAGAGTGAGACTCCAACTCAAAAAAAAAAAGAAAGAAAGAAAGAAAAAAGAAAAGCATACCTACAGCCTCTAATATGTTTTGAGGAAAAGCAAAGTCATTATGTGACAACGTAAAACAAAAGAAAGCTGAAGAATTGAATGTCAGCAAAGAGTGGTTTGATAATTTTAGAAAGAGCTGTGGCTTTAAAAATGCCAAGATAACAGGAGAAGTAGCCTCTACTGACCAAGAGGCAGCAAATGAGTTCCCAGACACCATTAAGAAGTTATTGAGGAGAAAGGATATCTGCCTGAACAGGTTTTTAATACAGGTGAAAGTGCTCTGCTCTGGGGGAAAAAAGAAAAGTCACAGACAACATTTTTTAGTAAGGAAGAGATGTGAGCACTAGGATTTAAGGCAGGAAGGAATAGCTAACTCTGCTGTCTTGTGCAAACAGAGTCAAGTTTGTAATCAGAACTGCCTTTCTCTATAAAGCTGCTAACTCCCAAGTCATGTCTTGAAGGGAAAAGATAAACACCACCTGTAAATTTTTGGTTGTACAACAAAAAGACCTGGACAAAAAGAACTTTTTTTCTGGATTGGTTCCATTGATACTTTGTCCCTGAAGTCAGAAAGTATCTTGCCAGCAAGGAATTGCCTTTTAAAGCTCTTCTTCTCTCTGTGGAAGAGAACCCCAATAGAGGGAACATCATGAAAGTCTGGAAGGATTACACCATTGAAAATGCCATCATCGTTACAGAAAACAGTGAAAACCATCAAGCTTAAGAAAAATTTCTGTGGGAAAAACTGTCCAGATGCTGTGCATGACTTTGTGGGATTTATAACAGAGTCAATAAAGAAAATCTTGAAAGAGATTGTGGATGTGACGGAAAAAAAAAAGTGGGGGTTAAAGTGTTTCAAGATGTGGATCTTGGAGAAATTCAAGAGCTTATAGGCACCGCTCCAGAGAACTTAACAGAAGACAACTTGATGGAGATGAGTACTTCCGAACCCAAGCCAGGCGATGACATTAGATAATCTGGCCGAAAAGTTCTGATTATTCAAGATAGCATTTGACTTCTTTTATGACATGATCCCTTTTATGATATGAGCTCTAAAATGAAAGCAAATAGTAGGAAAAAAGGTGGCATCATACAGAAACCTTTTGAGAGAAATGAAAAAGCAAAACGTCAGAAAAAAATTACAATGTATTTTTGTAAAATTACACCTGGTGTGCTTGCTTCTCCGGTCTCCCCTTCCACCTCCTCCACCTCTTCCTCCTCTGCCATGCCCAGGCAGCAAGACCAGCTCGTACTTCCTCCTCCTCCTCCTCCTTTGCCTCCTTCTCCTCCTCCTCAGCCTACTCAATGTGAAGATGATGAGGATCAAAACCTTTCTGATAACCTAATTCCACTCAATAAATAATAAATGTATTTTTTCATTTTTATAATTTTCTTTTTTTTTTTTTTTAACTTCAACATGTCTATTTTATTGTATGCCAGTGATGTCATTTAAAAAAATGTTTCCAGTCGGGTTCGGTGGCTCTGCCTGTAATCCCACGCTTTGGGAGGCCGAGGTGAGTGAATTGCCTGAGCCTGAGGGTTCGAGACCCACCTGGGCAACTTGGTGAGACCTCATCTCTACAATAAATCAAAAAAATTAGCCGGGCGTGGTAGCGCGTGCCTGTAGTTCCAGCTACTTGTAAGGCTGAAGCAGAAGGATCGCCGGAGCCCAGCAGGTCGAGGCTGTGGTGGCCAGGAGCATGCCACTGCACTCCAGTCTGGGCGACAAGAGTGAGACTCCAACTCAAAAAAAAAAAAAAGAAAAAGAAAATGTTTCGACATGAAAATCTGGATAAATCAACTTTATATTGATTCAACCCTCTTTCTCTTTCTGTATCTTGAATCAGTTCTGCTTGAGTGGCAGCAAACACTGAAAAACGATGAAGGCCATACTACCCAAATGCTGGGTCACAAAAGACCCATAGCTAACCCTATTGTAAGAAAACAGTATGTAATATATATAATATACAAAACATGTCTTAATCAACCCTTTATGTTATCGGTAAGGCTTCAGGTCAACAGTAGGCTATCAGTAGCTAAGTTCTGGATTATATATGGATTTTTGACTGTGTTAAAAAGCCTGTAATTCCGGTTGCTCGGAAGACGGAGGCGGAAGGATTGCCGGAGCCCAGCAGGTCGAGGCTGCGGTGGCCGGGAGCGGCCACTGCCCTCCAGTCTGGGCGACAGAGTGAGACTCCAACTCAAAAAACAACAAAAAAAAGGTATGTTAATGATTATGTATAATAACATATAACTCCATAATTTCATTAGATTATTTTACAGAACTATAACTATACAATATTAGTTGCTAGCATTTTTTAAGCTCCTGCCATGTGTCAAGACATTCTTCCTTTTCCCTTCCCCTCCCCACCCCACCTTTTCCCTAAGAATGCTAACCCACTCCTCAGGTCCATCTCAGCTTGGTTGTCTGTTCCTTCAGGAAGCCTTCTCGAACTTTCCCTAGCCTGGGTTAGAAGTCTCTGTTGCTGTCATAGTTCCCTGTATTTTTCCTCTCGCAACAATTATTGCATTTTATAGGAGTTGCCTGTTTAATTGTTGATCCCTCCAAAAAAGATTGTAAACTCCATGGAAGGAGGAGAATCAATTGCTTTGTGGCTCTTTATATTGCCAGTGCCTGGAAGAGTGCCTGGCACATAGTAAGCACTCAATAAACATTTGCTGAATAAGTAATTAACTAATACTAGGCACCCTGTGTTATATAATCGGAAAAAAAATAGCGTGGTAATACAAAGACCAATGTTAACTAAATCAGTTAGCTCACACTTCCTTTTTCAAATGTGGCCATAAAAAGGAACAAGAAAACTCAAGTGAAACTGACTGCGAGAAGAGCTCCGCACTTGTCCACAGAAGAGCACACTCAGAAGAGAATGGCTCAGCACTGCCTTTGGATCTTGCTCCTTTGCCTGCAAACCTGTGAGTTCTGACCCTTGCTGGTCCTCTCCTCATTTTCCACAAACTGCCCTCAAGGAAGTCATTGAAATGTCCCTTTGATTTTTTTTTTTTTGAGTTGGAGTCTCACTCTGTTGCCCAGACTGGAGGGCAGTGGCCGCTCCCAGCCACCGCAGCCTCGGCCTGCTGGGCTCCGGCGATCCTTCCGCCTCAGCCTTCCGAGTAGCCAGAATTACAGGCATGTGCCACCACGCCCGGCTGATTTTTTGATTTATTGTAGAGATGAGGTCTCGCTGCCCAGGCGGGTCTCGAACCCGCGGGCTCAGGCAATGCACTCACCTCAGCCTCCCAAAGGCGCGGGATTGCAGACTGAGCCACCGAGCCCGGCTCCCTTTGATCTTTTTTTATTTTTATTTTTTTTTACCCTGGGTCCCAGTATGTACCGTATTTACAGGGACCCAGCTGCCTGGGAAGAGGCTTGAGATTCAAACCTAAGTGTTCTTTTCAGCTTTAAAGGTTATATTTTTGAATTTCATCTGGGGATCATTCTCCAAGGGTCTGAGAAAAATCCTTCTCATACGAGCTGGTGCTTGGTAAACCCCATCTGCAAAGCCTGGCAAAAGAATAGATCATCCAAAACCTTGAGTGATCTAAAAGCAATTTCTCTTTGGCATTAGAATGTGTTTTTTGGTTTTGACAGGGATATGCCCTTCCTAGCCATAGTTCATTGCCCCATCAGGTTAGAGTGATGTATCGCTCATTATTATTATTGTGAACATCTCATCTGTATAAGCTCCTTTATTTTCAAAGCACCTTTAGAGCTGTCACTCTGCTTTTATCCTCCAAAAATTCTAAAATTAACGGGAAAGTGATTATTCTTCCTTTTGTAGAAATAAACCTCAAAACCCTGTTTTGAGAGGCAGAAGCAGGAAGATTGCTTGAGCCCAGGAGTTCCGTACCAGCCTATGGTACACAACAAAATCTCATCTCTACAAAAAAATCAAAATATTAACTGGGCGAAGTGGCACATACTTGTGGTCCCAGCTACTTGGGAGGCTGAGGGGCAAGGATCACCTGAGCCCAGGAGGTCGAGGCTGCAGTGAGGTGTGATTGTGCCACTGCACTCCAGCCTAGGTGAGACCTCAATTAAAAATAAAAGTAAATTAAAAAGTAAACGATATAGGGCAAAGTGAATATCAGTTGTTATTTGTACAAAGAAAACTATGTAACATTAACACAGGTCTGAGATTGCTTTGTCATTGCACATATTATCTCATTAAATCCAAACAATAGTCCAGTTTATACAGAAATAGACTATGTTTGGAATTTCTACATCTACTGCTAGTTTCTCTCACTAGTTCTGAAAATGCAGTAGCAAATTCCTGGCATGAAGTAGAACCAAAGGAACCCACTGGGATAGGATTTTCTAAGAAGTTAGAATCAATGCCAGTGTTGTGTCTCTGGTTCCCTTGACCATTTAAAACTATGGCTTTTAATTTGAGCTTCATGGAGATTACAATCACTCATCAGGTCAAGTTTTTGGATTCTCTGCTGGTCACTCCAGTATGGAGACAGAAAATGCAAGTAGATGGGGCAAAGGGTTGAATCTAGGGCTGCCCCTAATTTTCCAAAGAAGGACTGAACACGGTGGCATTTGATACCACTCAATTTGCAAAACATTTTACAATTTTTATGCCTACATTCCCATGTTATCCATACTAAAACCACTGAACTGGGCAAGATTGATATTATTAATTCTTTTATGCAAAACAGAGTAAACTAAGATTTAGAGGTTAGAAAATTCACCTGAAGTTTCACTGCCTAAAATGGTCAAGCAAGTCATTGGTTTTTCTAATCCCAGGCCTATGGCTCTTTCTGTTCCACCTGACCTCCTTACGTATGAGGTTTTCAAATTCCTGATGCTCTTCAAAGGGTTAACATCCAGTAAGATAAAAGGCAGCTCTAGGGTACTCTTCTCTCACCTACTGACACTGAAATAAAAATTGTCATATCAGCTAGTAGTGAATGATTTGCCCATCAGTTCTGTGATCCTGAGAAAACTGTGTAACCTCACTGACTGTTGTTTCAACTTCAAAATGGAGAAGGTAGCAATATAACAGGATTGTTTCGAGAATTAAAATGATGCCTGGGCAACACTTGGCATAGTACCTGAATATATTACGTGTTTAACAAAGACTAGCTAATGCTGTTGTTTTCCACACTTGCTTTTCGTGCATGGTTAGGAAGGACCATGACTTTATTGCACAGAGATCCTGGGCAGGACTCTTCTGTTTGGGATGATCCCAGGATCGTACAAACAGGAGAAAATATGGTGGGAGTCTGGGCTTAGGTGTGGACTGTCAGGGTTCTGGAAAAGGAAACCAAGAAGAAGCAATTCATCTCCTCAGGGATCCGTGAAACAAGGAGTGAGGGCTTGTTTTTATAAACATAAGGCCAGGAACATTTTCACATACTCTTCACCCTTACTGAATGGATTTTTGGGTCTCTTAAAGATTATTTCACAGCTGGGCGCAGTGGCTCACGCCTATAATCCCAGCAATTTGGGAGGCCGAGATGAGAGGATTGCCTGAGCCCATGGGTTCGAGACCAGCAGAGGCAACTTGGCAAGGTCTCATCTCTACAATAAATCAAAAAATTAGCCAGGCATAGTGGTGCGTGCCTGTATTTCCAGCTACTTGGAATGCTGAGGTGGGAGAATCACCTGAGCCCAGCAGGTTGAGGCTGCGGAGCCTGGGAACATGCCATTGTCCTCCAGCCTAGGCGACAAAGTGAGAATCCAACTGAAAAAAAAAAAAAAAGATTATTTCACAAACATTTCCTGATCACAAAAATATACCCTAAATTCCTCCCGCTGCTGTTCCTGGTGTGCTTGTCCCTTCTATGCAGTACTAGTCTTAGGAGTCAGCAACACTTGCTGTATTCCCTGGAATTTAGGGCAGTTGAAGAGGCTGAGAAGCAGTGGAGGGATCAAGTAGAAATTCCCATTTCCCCCCGAAATCACTGACACAGGAAAGCCTGAGTGTGTGAACTCGTGTCTGCCCCATGCTGGAAAAGTTTTCTCTAGGAATCAAGACTCACTGTCTTATGCTTTGATCTCGACTTTCTGATCACAGCTTTAGGAACACTGTGACTCTGACTGTCCCTGACGAAGCTAGGAGTCACTCCCACTCTGGGGGTAGAGAAGAAAGAGTCCACCGGATTTGCTCGTTGCCCATTCCTGCTACAAGCTATCACTCTCTTTTAATTATTTCTCTTCTCCAGTCTGTCTTGTCTCTGTTTCTTCACTCCTTCTCTTATCTCCCATCAATAATAGTCGTAACTAACTGTTTATGGAGCAATCACTGCATGTCTGACTTTACTTTTAGTGGTCTACAGTTATTATTTTGTTTAATCCTCATAATACCCTATGAGATGGGTACTATCAATATACTCATTTACAGATGAAAACACTGCTATACAGAAAGTCAGTGTCACTTAGCCAAAAAGTAAAGGGAGTAGAATTTAAACTCCAGTATCCTTAGACTCATCCACGGGGTCATGCTGCCTCCAGCCACTTGGAAATTTAGTCAGACAAGAGTGATGATTTATTTATTACTAGCAAGACAGGATTGTTCAGGTAGAAGCTGCACCTCTTCTCTACACCCACCTGCAGAGGGCGAAGGGGCTGGTGGCAGGTCCTTGCCAATAATACAAGTTTAAGCAAGCCAGCAAGGCAGAATACTCAAGCAAATAACCATCTCCAGACATGGTTCAAGTCCTATTCACTTCCATATGATTTGGATGGACTAAAAGTCATTTCTTTATAACAAACAAAAGTCCAATATCAACATGATCTTGATGTCCCATCAGATGCTGTACACGGTCAAGGGACATTCCAGCAATTGACACTTAAAAGTCCAAGAGGTGAATGGAACCACCTGAGTATGTGTCCGTGGATCACTAAACCTCGTCTATCATCCTGGGGGTCAGAGACAGGATGCATGCCCGGAGAAGGGTGCTGCAAGCCGACCTGACTGTGATCCTAAGTCCTTGCCTAGAGGGGTCTTCAAAATGAAGACAAGGCCTCCGTCCTAGAAAGAGATTTAAGCGATGACTACCACAGATGTTCAGAAAGGGCTCAAAAGCAGAAATGGAAATAAATTATGTATGGGAAATGCTAGTCATCAGGACATCAACTCAAAAACCCAGTTTCCAGTCAGAGGATGGGAAGCTGCACCCCGTGCTAACTCAGGACTCCGGTGGGAGAGGAGTAGAGGCTCATCTTGTCAGCCCGATCAGCTGGAGCAGGCCTGGAGATCAATATGGTGACCACCAAGGAGGTCAGAGCACCTTCGCAACAGGAGCCCGATGGTCAGTGCTTGGCCACTGGGGCTACTCAAGTATTCCTGAGTCAAGCCTGAGAAGGAATCTGCAAGTTTAAGGATAACTAATCTATGTGAAACCTGGAAAAGCAAGAAGCATGAGCAGTCGGTTGGGGGTTGATATAGGTAGAACTGTTCAGGTACCCATATTTCCCTCGTTATACTCAAAGTTCAAGTATATGCTAATAAAGGAGCAAGGATAAAACAGTGGATGGCCATGATCCCACTTCTGTTTTGAGATTTTGTGAGTATGTGTATGGGTGTGTGTGTGTATGTTTCCTTTGAAGAAACTGATTCAAGTCAACCTAAATCTCTTTTTCTTTGAGTTGGAGTCTCACTCTGTTGCCCAGACTAGAGTGCACTGGCATGCTCACGGCCATCACAGCCTCAACCTGCTGGATTCAGGTGATCCTTTCCACTTCAGTCTTCCAAGTAGCTGGAACTACAGACAAGAGCCACCACTCCCTGCTAATTTTTTGATTTATTGTAGAGATGAGGTCTCACCAAGTTGCCTAGCCTGGTCTCGAACCCGTGGGCTCAGGCAATCCTCTCACCTCGGCCTCCCGAAGAGCTGGGCTTATAGGCATGAGTCACCACACCTGGCCAAACTAAATCTCAGTAAAGTTGATATAAGGTAAACAT